AGTATGAGTAGGTGTGAATGGTAGTAGATGCATATACTACCGGAAGCACAAGACTCACGCTTGGATCAGGGAAAGTCACAAGGTTACCGAGAAGCTAGTAGTTGATTCCGTTTTGTTCAGGTATGTCATTACCATTGTTTCGGTAATGACTAAGAAGATGATGTTATTCCGAACCTAGTGTTCATATCAAATCGAGTCCGACTATGATGAGTATGTTACGAGGTTCAGAGAACCAAGTTCGATGTAGCATCTGACTTAAGCCGGAAGATTGAAATGAAAGATAATCAAAGCGATCAGTACAGGTATCACGACAGTTGCCTGTAGCTAGAAATGCTACCTTTTAAGATGTCATCAGAACATGAAGGAAGGTATAGTCTGTTCTAGAATTTGACTCTAAAAGACCTGAGTCCAAGCAATGCATCATACGATGAGAGGTCATTAGAACATGACCCATCGGTCTATTATGATAATCGAAGGAAGAAACTTATCTCAAGTTTGTTAAAGAGGGAGTCTCCAATAAAGATCGAGATCGTGACATGAAGATCATGATTGGAAGTCTAACTTGAGATAGAGAACGGGTCCAAGATCGGGCACCGCCTGCAGTCAGAAAGTCTTAGAGTTAGATACTCATTCGAAGAAACATCAAAGTTACGATTATTACTTAGGATGAAGAGATAACTTATGGAGTCATCATGTGAGCCCTGTTTCGTTGATGATTCCGGGACGTAATCATCCTAACGGGGAGATAATTGTAACGCCCGCAGATCCGGGCTAGTCAATTTAGAGATAATAGGGGTCGAAAACGACTTTTCGACAAAAGATTATTTAGAATAAGTAATCTTAACCAAGTTGTAGAATATGTCTCAAGGGTTCCGTACATATGAAGAACGCCGAAATCCGAGTTATAACGAAGAAGTTATGGCCCGTCGAAGTTTTACGGCAAAACCGGCACGGCATCGGCAGACGTAAATAGTGAATTTTTGATAAAGGACTTTTTAGCCTTAGAAATCTAAACAAAAGTTGTAGTATACGTTAAACTGAGAACATACAAAAAAAAGAACGCCCAAATCTGACTTCGTATGAGGAAGTTACGAATTTTCTAAGATTTGGCATAGCAGTGCACGACCCAAAACTCGAATTTTAGATCGAGCGGTTTTTGGCCTACACGACTTAAATGAGAATTGAAGATCTCATTAATAGGAACTCAACGGTAAAAATACAGACGAAAACAGAGTCCGTATGTAGAAGTTATGAATTTTACGCGGACATTTAACAGTATAATCTCCTCGTACTGTTAAATTTAAGATCGGTCGAGAATTAGCCGACGGAGTCAAAATGAAAGTTGTAGATCTTATTTTTACCTACGCGTGGATATAAAGAACGTCAAAAACGGAGGTCGTATGTGAAAGTTACGGATTTTAGAAGTCGGAAGTGTGCTCTGCGGAAATGGGTGATGTGGCACAATCTTGGCCATTGTTTTCTCCCCAAGTCTTGCCACTAGATGGTGACATGTGGCACCAAGTTCAGCCATTTTTCACCCTATAAATAGAACCTCTCCCACCCTCATTTTCTTCACACATTTCTCATTCCTTCTTTCTCTCACTAGTTTCTCTCTCTAACCCCCCAAACCCCCCGAAAAGCCTAGGGAACCTCCCTAGCACGAGGCGGAAGCCCTGGAGTGTTTGACGGCTCCGAGAAGAAGAGCTTTTCGGCTCGGGAACGCTGCTCCAAGCAAAGCCCGATTTTCTATAAAACCCGCTGTAAGTGAGCTACGCCTACGCTATTTTTAATATATCGTTTATTTAATTATAGTAGCGTTATTAGCGTTATTAGGAACTTTAACGCTTATATAATAGTAATAATAGCTAGACTATTAATTAGTCTCGGCGAATAATAGACTAAACTCTAGTGGTAATAATACTAGGTTTCGTCGAAGGAAATTTTTTTTTTTAAGAAGCGAAGCGCTGTCTGAGTTCGGAATCACCACATTTTCAAGTGAGTGCATGGTCCCTTTCATCTTACACATAGATATGAAGTATTTTATATAAATTACGTGCTATGTATGCATATTATCTGAATACTTGCTGTCTATGATGGATGGATGATTCTATACATGTTTTAAATGATTTAAATATATATTTATTTTATATCTACAAATATGTTGGGATAAAACATGGGTAGATGAAATAGTTGGTGTGTAATGAAATAAAATGATGAGAGATAGGTGATAATAGGAAGGTGATGATAATTAGGTGATGGATAGGTGATGATGAATCGGTGATGTAGGATGAAAGATACTATAACCTTGACCGTCAATATGGAGATGTAGTCATCTACCAGAGTATAGATGGCGACCACGGACTATTCTAGACAACACCGTGGAAACACCAGCAGACTTATAACCTGTAGGTGATGAATTACGAGTTCAGGCGATGTTGTGACTGCGTATTCATGTGATGATACTCTAACCCTTACTATGAATTACGAGTTCAGGCGACGTTGTAACTACGTATTCATGCCTTAGGAACGAGCATATAAGGAAATGTGAGGTAAAAGATGAGAGGTAAAAATGATATAGGAGATGACCCTTAAGATAATTCTTTAAGGGATATTAAAGAAGATAACGGGGATGGGTAATTGGGTTGATTGTTTGATTGTTTAAACATAATAATTATATTATTGTGGGTTGAAAACCCTATGTACTCACCAGGTTTCCCAACCTGACCCACTCAAGCTTATTTGTATCACAGGTGTCGATATGAAGCTACTTTAAACTGAGAGATTTAAAAGAGATGTAGATCACTAGTGTAAATGAATGTAAGTTCTGTTTATGCTTATGTTTCTGTATTGACGATGACATCCCAATGTTTTGAAAATGAATGAAATACATTTCTTAGGAAATGATTTGATAACGTATTTATCATGTTTTTCTGGGAACAAATTCCGCAACATTTTTATTAAAAGAGGTACTCTGATTTTTATAAAGCATAAACAAAATCGGTCTTTTCTGGCCGTGAAAACGGGGATGTCACAATTGGTATCAGAGCATTAGTTTAAGCGAACTAGGAATTTGTAGAAAATTTCTAGACTTAAACTTAGAGTATTAAGCGATGATTGTGAGATGAGTGCCTGCTATATTTTAGACACGAGCACTATTTTATTTTAGGAAAGATGCCTAAAATGTTTTATGTGCTAAATGTTTTATGTTATAGCTATAGAGATGTCTTATATGCTATTATTTGTTCAGATATATGGTCTATTGCCGACCGTATCTGGAAATTTTATGTGTTCAGATTTCTAAACGTTTAATTATGATATTAGAACTGGCATGTAACTTTTCGGAGTAATAGGGAGATTTACACGTCTATCCTAAATAAAACTTTCTTATCTTAAATTCTCGTCTCGGTACACCAAATGTCTACTTTGGTGTACAAAACGTCATGGTGAAGACAGACTAGGAAATATCCGAGGAAGATGACAACCTGAGCCGAAGAATGTGACGGGTCATGCATCGGTCGTTGCGCCTGCACCCGAACCTATCACAATGGCAGAAGTTCAGGAAGTGATGCGAACCATGATAGACTGATAAAATAGAGGAAATAATAAGGCTTACGATAGTGAATGATACCTATCAGAAGATATCGTAAGAGAGGTATCTTGCCTTTAGAATGCATCTAATAAATAATACGTCTAGTATGGGAGAAGTACACTTTCGATTGGCAGAAAGAAAGAATTCTTGGAATAATCCATAAAGTTATCCCATGGTCTTGAATTTCCAATACCGACCGAGTTGAAGCAGAATTGATGATTAAAGATGTGCATGGAAGAAGTCCTAGTAGAGTCTAGGGAAATTTTTTTTATGATTATTTGGACACACTCGTATGTGTTAAATTGTTTTGTGATTTTAGGACTTGGGGACTGTGAGACGATACTTGGGACGAGTATGAGTAGGTGTGAATGGTAGTAGATGCATATACTACCAGGGCAATGAATATTTTTTTTTTGCATAGAGTTTTCTTTTCGGTAATTAGTTCTCTTTCGAAGGCGTTAAATAATTTTCATGCGTCAAGTACATTCCTTTCAAATCTCAAAATGCTTTCTCGAAATCCAAATACATAAGCAAGCATTTGGAAACCGAAATATTTAGAGATGGAGATTCTTGATTTTAGTCGGGTATTTGTAGATGTTGATACTAAGGACACACGTATATACATTCCGTGCATATCAGATCTTTACACTCATCAAGTTTATGATACCTTTAAAGTTAGAAAGATTACAAGAAGCACTATGATTAGCAACATTCTTTTAAATCAATGTATGTCTAAATTCTTTCCTGTTATGGAATTGTACTTTTAAAAGTCATATCAGCCTAGGCCATTGATCTTCCAAAAGCTTTTGAAGTACCTGGATACCCTCTTTTTTTAATTACAATCAACAGTTATTTGGTGAATAAAAACATCCAAATTTCTTTTTGAACTACACATTCAGACCTTGAATTAAAATATTGGAGACCATGAACCAAGATATTATTAAACTAAATTTTCAATATTTTTAAAATATTATCACTAAAAACTAAATATGTTCGAAAGCAGAGTTTATGTCTAAATCTGCTTAAGCGACAATTTTAGCAGCACCGATGCAAAGAGAAGAAACACAAACCAAGATTGAAGGCTTTAGGGACATATTAGTCCACTAACAATGCTACTAAAAAACACAGCTAGCAACCACATCTAGGGAATAAGTCAAATGGAAACCACAACATCAGCAACATTAAAGAAATTTTGCCCAAACATAAGGGGTATTTTAGTCATAACTCAAACTAATACTTTATTAACAGCAGGACCACATTAATCAAATCTGGGACCATAAGTTCAAAAATAGCAGGAGCATCTCAGAGGCATATTAGTGAAAACCATACTTAAACATAAGAAACAACATCAACATATCAGAGGCATATCAGTCAAAACCCCACCAAAACTTGAGAAGCAGCAGCAAACAGGTGCAAACAACATAAAATTAGCAACTTTAATTAAAATTTTCCATCTATGTCCCAGATATACAAAAGATAGTATAAGCTCATCAGTCAGAACTGATATTAGAGATGCCATAAATAGTAATAAGATTTCCTAAAGTTTTTCCCCATCTATCCACACTTGAAGTGGTTTCATTGAACGGAAATGGTTGTAATAGCAAAGAGGACCGAATTAAAGGTAACTGCATCTTCTGTGAAATTTGATCAGGCAGGATAATTTGGAGCTAGCTTAATAATTTGGTTCGTTTATTCCAACTTTCTCACTTTTCTGGACCTGTATATAAACATATTCAAAAACAGTTGATCATAAAAAAAGATATCAATTGTAAAGAGTATTTGGTCATGAGATAGCAGCCAAAAGTTTTTGAGTTTACTTTAAACTCACATAAATTTCATTGAAATAATAGCAATTCAAGACCATCTACAACTATTTACACCAAAAATTGAAATAGCAAAAAGATATCTAACCAACCCTCATCAGATTTTTTTTCAGCTGGTTGAGTCTTTACCCCTTACAAGTCCATACAAACCCAAAGAGTATAAAATAAGCATGCAGGTTAAACTATAGGAATCAAATAAAATACTAATCTATAACTAAAATCGTAATCATGATCAAACATCAATTAAACATAATCAAACATCAAATAATCATAAACAAACTTTAAAATTTTGGGATATGTTTGGGTTTATATGGGTTAAAAGTAAAGGAAGGGAGAGAGGTTAACACGGATTAGCTTTTTGCAAAGGAGCGCATATGGTTGGACTGAGAACAATCGACGGTAACGGTTGTTGACCTGGTGTAGTGGTAGTGGAGAAGGTTGGCTGGTGGTTGTTTAGCGTTAGTGAGAATAGGGGCGTTGACATACAGTCACCTTCATCGAGCTTTGAAGTCAGATCATCAGCTTCCACAGTTCATAACAATCATTAGTGTCACCATACTTTATCATTATAGACATGTAATCTACAAGTATATTGATTAAAATAAAGTAAAATATGCATTTAAATCTAAACAAACAATCAATCACATCAAAAAAAATTATTCCGGTAAATAACCTTACCAGAATCAACAGGTGCAACATGACCATTAGCATATTTCCCAAATTTTCTTTCAAAAAGCAAACTTCTGACTGTAAAGCTTGTTAGCAGCAACTTTTCTATGTCCCTTGGTTGTCTTGCCCAAGTGATCCGTATGTGTTGACCTCGAAAATAATAAAACAAAGATGAATGAGATGATCTTTAGGACCTAAAGAGGAAATATACACACAAAAACAAGTGAATAGGCACTAATTTCCAATGTGATTCTTATAACTCATGACCAGATATAATTGCAACATAATAGAAAAAAAGAATCAAAAGCCAATGAAAGCACACATAAAAACAAAAAATGAGCTAGGTAGCCAAACAGAAGGCTTGATCGTGCAATGCAGTTTCCATGTAAAATATCTATTGCATCTGGCCATCAATTTTGATTTTGTGTTTGTACAAAAGTATGTATGGTTAGATGCAAAAAAATCAAATTATATACCAAAAACAAATAAAAATACATTACTTGGACATGAAAGGTTTATTAGATGTTCTCCAAAGTCCAAACCTTAACATGTGATAAAGAAACATCAATAATGGCTATAGTCTTGAAGGGGCTTTGTATCAGTTGTAGTGCAGTAAAGCCCCAATAATACATACAAGTTCAGTTCAAACCTAAATCAGAAACATAAAACTTATGATATGTTCAAAAAAAACTAATTCAGAAAGAGAGAAAGGGTGCCTACTTGGGGTTTTGTTCCAAATCTACCTTAAATGTTTGGTGACAGCAGCACAAACGGTGGTGGCTGGCGGATTTGTGGTGGTAAGTGTGACCAGTGGTGGTCTGAGATTTGAAGTTTTCAGAAGCCATGAACAAACTAACCCCAATTTCCTTTAAAAAAAAAACTCAATAAAACTGTCAAACCTTCGATTGTCCCTTTAAACAATGTCAATGATGAGAAATGTTAGAGATTATCCACAAAATCTTCTGCAGCTTTCTCAGATACACATCCATCAAGCGTTTCTGTTTAGAGATAAACAGAGAGAAGGCCGAAGAGCCCACAACCAAAACCCTAAATTAGCGATTAAGAGACAAAATAAGAGAGAAAATTGAGGGTAAACTTCATTGTTCATTAGGTTTACCAGGGAGAAGACAGTTGTGAATGTTGTGGTGTCTTCCATGGATGCTTATGACGACATCGTAGAATTCCTTCTTCAAAATAGCACAACAAAATTAATCTAATCAGATATGAAGGGCCTTTCATCCACTGCACTTCTTTAAACAATCTAATGAATGAAACAAAAGGAATCACCAAAAAAATTAAAACCTAATGGTTTAGGCGTTGTCTTGGATATCTCTTTCAAATCAAAACCCTAAATTAGAAAATCCACAATACATATTGAAAAATAGTTTCAAAGAAACAATCATCTTTATTTACACTCGTCATTAACTTTTGGGGCAAAAAAATCCGGTTAAGGAATTTATTACCTTTTTTTACTGAAGAGCATAGCAGAGGAGCATAATGCTTAGCCACCGGTTGCTAGCGGAGATGGGAGCAACAACGATGGTAGTGTCGATGACGATGAGTAGTGGCAGGGTTGGAGAATGAGTCGGGGTAGAGAGATTTGGATATAGATCATGGTGAGGGTTCCTTGCAAGAAAAGCGGTGCGATGGAAGAGTGATGATGGAGATAGCGGTCAGATACGATGAATGGTGCAAGGTTGGAGACTGGATGGTGGTTCATTTCTGGCGCATAACGGTTACTTCGATGGATGAGGGCGATGACTTGGGCGGATGTGGGAAACGGCGACGGCTCTCAGATTAGGGTTTTTGAGTATTTGATTGAGAGAAATTGTGGCTTTAGAGATATATAGGAGAAACTAAATTAGTGTTTAGGGGGTGTTAGGATAAATAGTTTTTAGCTTATTAGCTTATTGCGTTGAGAATAAGCATTTGTTTAAAATGTGTTTGGATTAGCTTATTGCGGTGGGATTAAGCAATAAGCAATAAGCATTTTAAGTGTTTGGCAAACAAAACAGCTTATATGAGTAAAATGACCAATAAGCAATAAGCAATAAACATTCCCCCTTGCTTATTAAAATCAGCTTATTTTGTTTATTCCTACCGCAATAAGCTGATTTTTAAAGACTCATATCCAAACACTTAAATTTGCTTATTGCGGTGGGATTAAGCAATAAGCATTAAGCAACCTATTTTTTCCCTATCCAAACGCCCCCTTAGAATTCAGATTTAATTCTGAAACGTATACGTTATATGTCTGTATATAATGATAAACATAACATGATTGTATACAATGTAATAGGTGTTGTACCGCTTAAATTTCAAGAAATGTTGAATATGCTTTATATAATAGTAAATATATATATATATATATATATATATATATATATATATATATATATATATATATATATATATATATTAAAAATCTCCTAAGTTAGGCATAGTAAATTTGGATGGTTTTTGTCAACTTTGGCCCTTACTCTTTAGTCATTTTGACACTTTTGGTCCTTGCAATCAAAATTTTTATACTTTTTAGGAACTTTTTAATATTTAAAGTTTGGCCACAAAACTTTAACGGTTTAACAACTTTTGTCCCTTTTCTAAAAACTTGCTAATTCATACCCCTTTAATTCTTTAGCCATTTAGACACTTTTGGTCTTTGCAGTCAAAACTTTTATATTTTTTCATAAAAAACACAAAAAAAAAACGGTATGGGGCAAAGATTGGGTTTTTCACCCTTGCACTTTCTACGTCTGTCATTTTCTTCTTTTGCTATAATTTTTCTATATTGGTCATCATATTTAATTTTTTTGGTTTTCCCTATTTTTT